CTTCTCCGCACAACCTAGCCTGTAAAAGCCACAAGACTGTAGAATGGAAACCATTCGAGAATTGTGTTTGCTGATTACAAGGCGTCGGGTCGTACCAAGCAAAGCACCGAATTTCAACCGCCAGTGTACGAAGCACGCCGGAAGTGTTTTTTCAACACTTGCCAAGTCTAACAGCAACGTTTGACAATGTCAAAACGGTCTTTGGTTGTTTAAACCAAAAACGTCCTGGATATCCCCGGAAGGATGCCAGCCATATTCTTCACATAGGATCTCGTCCTGATATAGCTATGATCTGGATCTGAAATCGGGTCGTTTCGTGTTCCCCACGTAGGATTTGTAGCAGACAGCCGATCGACTTCCGGGCAAGCTTCTATGCTTTCTGGAAGGTCCTTCCGCAACGCATAATGACGTGGCACCCGCAATGGTCACATAGACTGTACGTGGCAGCGTGCAAGGACCGCCGCCGAGACCCATGGCCAAGAAGCAAGTATACCAGGCGATTCGTACACGATGGCGCAGCATCATGCTCTAGGAACCAGTTGAAGAGCTTCGAGTGTACGTAGTATTGCCTTGCATCCAATTAATCCAAGCTTCTCTGCAAAAAAGAGCAAACACATACTACAGTGTAGTATATCAAGAGAATTGTATTTTCATCAGCATAATCCAAGCTTCTCTGCAAAGAAGAGCAAACATATATATATAGAGAACTGTATTTTTCATCAGCACAGGTTCAAAAGCTGCTCAAGGACCCAACGCGATTCCACAATGGTCCACACCGTCGACACCAGACACGACGAGGACGGGCCTGGGCCTGGACGGCGCAGCGTCGGAAGAAGCTGCGCAAGCGTCTAGTCGCGCGCGACCTCTCGAGCCCGATGCATCCAGCCTCAGGCGCTCCACGACGGGTCAACACCGTCGAGCACGAGTAATGCGCGCTGTGAGGCATCCAGCTGCTTGCACATGGCAGCAAGCGTGCGGCTGCAAATCTCCTTCGAGCTTGGCATCGTGGCATAAACCTCCGCTCCAGCAGGGCCAGACACTGCAGCTCCGCGTCGAGATCCACGCGTTGGTAAGCGGCGTCTTGAGCATGTACAACTGGAGCCCGATTGGTACGTGCGTTCATGTGCTATCTCCTTCTCAGCGATTCCCTAGGCTCGTCGGACCTACGCGACGCATCATCTCCACACCTGCTTCTGCGAAGAAGTGGCGTACGAATTGATGCTGGAGAGCCATTTTTCGACACGCTGCTCGATGGCCGCCATCTGCGAGTATGCGTCGTTGTTCTTGTCGTCGTCAACGTGCTCAAAGTGGATGCCGGCGGGAAAGACTTGTCGTGCACTGAGTAATTGCTCTAGCGCGTACGACAGCTGCGTCTTGCCGACGGTGGGCTGGACGTTGTTGCTCAAGTGACACCTGACGGCGCTGCAACGGCAGTGTGCTGCAATTGCTCGACTATTAACATCGGTGCATTCGGTGGCGATGACACCTGCCGACGTTACGACGTCACGGTGCCACTAAACTTTAGGCCGACACAACGGTGTCCATGACGAACGCGATGGCCGGCGATGTGTCACGCCTCAACGATGCCCGGCGAAGGCGACGCCCGGTTGTGAGACGTACGTGAGTCGACGCCTACGTCGATGCCGCGACGACGCCGTGACGCTCAAAATCACCGATCACGGTGATGCCAGACGTCGACACCGAAGTGTTCCGTGCGACAAAAAGACGAACGATGGCTGTCGACGTCGATGCCTGAAGATGGCCGTGTCCAACGTCGACGCGCCTGCCTCACTCGCAACGACTACATACCGCGACTACTCGTTGCTCGTGACGTCGACGCTCCTGCCCAGTCGCCGCGTTGTCGAAGTCGATGCTCGATGATGGTAGTGTCGAACGCCGACGCGACAACGCAAACACTCCCAGGGCGGTCGACGATGTGCTTGCACACGCTTGCAACAACACCGTTCGCGACAGCTCTTTTGAAGTCGACGCGCCCGCGCAACCCACGGGCGCAGCCAGCACCGGACGCCCAGACGACGCCGCACACGATGTTCGACCTCTGATCTTCAAGCGTCTGCTGCAACCCGTGGCACACTCCGACGACGATGACACCGATCTCGAATGCTTCCACGCCGGTGAGACCGGTCTCGACTGCTCCCACGATGGTGACTGCATGGCAAGCTACGACGCCGTTTCCAACGAACTACAACACGCCGACGATGTCTCTACGCGACGACATACAAGAGGTCGAAGCCGACTGCCACGACATCGATGCGACGCCATTGAGACGCCAACTACCGCGACGCCGATTGCTTGTACGTCGACAGCCGCGACATCGATAAAATGCCGATGCGACATCGGCAGCCACGGCTCGGGCACCGCGGTCACGACGTCGACACCGACTTGTTGACCATGCGGGGCGTGTGGCAATTTGAGTTGTGATGGACCGAGACCCGCACCAGCCCGATGGGACACCCACGAGTGTGATTTTAGTGAGAATCTAGCTCACATTTCATTGAAGCGATACACTTTACGGCTGCGACACGGACCTCTCTACGTCCTTCCACTCGGCTGCTACCGATCGACCGCTGCGGCCCTCGTTCTTGGTACCAGTTACGATGGCGTCTATGCACCTCTGCTCCATGTCTAGGCACCCACTCTTCTCCAGCTTCCTCCTCCCCAGCTTGCACTTTTCCAGCTTCCCCTCTTTGTCCAGCCGGCACCCATCCAGAAGACAACGCCCCTTTGTGCATTGCAATTTCGACGATGCAAGACTCAAGTCGAGGTTCATAAATAATACTAGCATTGAAGCGTTTAGCTATCTGCGTCGTCTTACTCGTCGTTGAACACGTCGTTGTCGTCTGTCACGTCGAGCGGCGCTGGAGCAAAGCCAAGCCGCGAAAGAACTTGCGCAGCGGCGTTGAGATGGTTCAAGTACGCGGGGATGACATCCTCTACCACGAAGTTGCAGATGAGCAACGCTGTCACCCTACATCAAGGTCACGGCACGAGGTATGAGGTATGACCCTCTCCGCAGCAAAAAGGTTCCCGCACGTATCCGTCAAGACGATGAGCACGCAGGCGCCGTAGGTGGGGACGTCGTCGGTGTCGCCGCTCGTCGCCACGGCGATGTCGTCGTAGATGTCGTCGGTGTCGTCGGACGTCGTCGCGGGGCTGTAGCCGTCTTCGTCTTCTTTTTTGGACCAACAAACGCATAGCACGATCATCCAGAGTGTCAAGGCCGCCATGTTGGCGACCCGCCGAGGCAGAAGATGGAGCGCGACCGAGATGGCCACCGGCCCGAGGACGATCGCCATGCGCCCGATAAGGCAGCCATGCATGGAGGTAAAGGCTCGGACGAGGAGTGGTGCTTCTCCGTGGCGCATGATGAGGTCGGAGGTCCGCGCGGTCGATCGGCAATCGCAATACAATAAATAAAAACAATGACTGCCTGTAGTTTAAATCGGATATTTTATATATACATAGTCATTGTATGTGTCTACATTACAATTCAAAGATTGGCGATGGTGCTCGCGGATTCGCATCACGACCGGATACTCGGCGTTGGTGCAAGCTCATTGGCTCGATTTAATTCTTTCGACCAATAGCATTGGAGCAGACGCGTCGTCGCAGTCGTTTGGTTCCGAGCATGGGCGGGCACATGCACAAGAAGTGGTGTGGACGCGCGCCACGACGCGACGAGCAGCTGCTCCAAGAGGCAGAGCGCGCTGCCTTCCGCGAGAAGCGGACCTTGACGGCCGCGTCGAGGCGCTCAAGAAGACCAAGCCGACGCCGCTGGCCATCGACCTCTTTGCGCCCGACGAGACTGCGCCGCCGCCAGTCGCCAGCACCAAGAAGTATTCATACGAAGGCATCGCCCGCGGCGGCGCGCTGAGCCCGGTCCACTGCCAGATAGGCCGACGCAAGCCGCCCTAGCAAGCCTGCCCTACAGCAGAGCCAAGACTACAACGTCGCCACCATGGCTGCCATCGTGGGCCGACCCACGGCGCTCATGGCCACCGCCAACGATACGCGGGTATCTGACGCGCTCGACTTTGCCGGTAATACATTTACTAGGAACACGAAGCTCAAGAAGACAAAGACAGCCGATTCATCGTCGTCTTCCTCTATTCGCCTCGAGCAGCTTCGAGGCGAGCGCGCCGAGCGCAAGGCCGCCGAGCAGCGCCGACTCGAGACGCTCCTTCGGCGCTAACACAGAGCTACTCCTTGTAGATTTATATATGAAAGCAAAAAGCAAACAACAGTCCTATCCATTGGGTCGTCCACTTGCGCACGCCAGCTTCGCACGCCACAGCTGTGTAGGACTTGGCGGCAGAATCTTGGGGCAGCGGCGTCGTGAGGTCGAGTCACGCTCTCTACATTTCGCATCCATTTGTGATCTGGAAAACTACGAAAGTATCTGGTGCGAAAACAATGAACTACTACAAGAGAAGACCTGTCATCCCGAGAGTGTATCGCACGAATGATGTGTTGGTCCACACGCTTTGGCAAAAAAGGTCCTTCAACTTGAAGGCAATTGCAAGGACGAGGTACTAAAGATGACCGACAAAGACACACTCGAAAGTGAGCAGTTTGACGTTTTGAGCTGCGTTCACACGCTTCGCGCGCGTGCACCGTCAGTGTCTGGCTTGCAGGCAAAGTACAGCTCTCGGCCTGACGCGACGTATGGTAGCGCGGAACCAGTCTTGCGCGAGCCAGAGCGCCAACACCAAAAAGACCAAAACACGACCAGGACCCAAACTGCAATAGTTTAGATTTCAGATCGACAAACCTCACGCCTGGCGCAGCGGTGCATAGCCAAAATGTAAGAAATATTGGAAAATACTGGGATCATTGCCATGGTCGTGAGCACACAGGTGATCACACCAAACTTCCGCCGGCAGCGAGCCTGTCGCTCGGTATCGCCTGCAATCCGATCTGTGCTCGCGCTGCCAACGAGTGGAGCTTCCAGCTTTTGGTAGTCATGATCTTTGGCTGCGCGTCCATGGCGCAGACGCGAGATTGGCACGGGTGTCTTTTCTTGACGGCGTCGTCTTTTACTACTACGATGAACCTAGCTGCGGATATATACATTAGAGAATGGGGGAAATCTTGCAGCATCCCAGCACAGTTATGTACGCACTCCCAACCGTGCGCTCTGTCCAAACGAGCAAGTCATTGCGCACTCCTTTTTCATATTTTCCCACTTGTCTCATTCAATGGCATCGCTTTGCGTCCGAGGCGCTGCGGCCCGTGCTTCTCAGTATCGTGCGCCCGCATCGACGCGCCGACTCGTTCCAGGACAAGCGGCGCGTGCTCGACGCCCTCGAGTGTCTTTTGGCTCTGCCCAGCGACGAGGACGTCGTGGCCACTGCGCGCGGCGTGTTGTTTGACGTCGACGGCCGACTGCGCACCCTTGGCTACATGCTCGTGGCCTCGGGTGCCGAGACCGCGCTGGCCCAATTAGCACTGGATACGCTGGGCGACGCCACCGAAGCCGCCGTCGCTGGTGCCGTTGTGGCACATGAGAGCGCTCTCGACACGACGCCGGTTATAAAGCTACTCCTCGACGAGACAACGACACTGGCACTAACGCTCACATTTGCACTGCTGTGTAAGAGTAACTCGCTATTTGCGCATATATCAACGTGTTCCGCGTTATCTTCCTTACAAAGTCTTCGCATATTGTCGCGAAAGTACCGAAGCGTTCTCAAGTTGGCTCTGGGTCGATTTGCTATCTCTTTTTCGATTGTTGATGTCGATTGACGTCTTCATCGTCACTTGGGCTCACGCTAGTTATAAAT